CAGCTATCCATCCATTCCTTTATCTACCCATTCATCCTTCCACCAATCTATCCATTCATCAACCTATTCATCCATTCAGTATATCCCCATCCCTCCATCCATCCATCCATCCACCCATCCATCTCTCCGTACAGCATCCATCTCTCCATCCAATCAGCTATCCATCCATTCAGTCATACATATCTCCATCCATCTTCCCATCCATCCATCCACCTTTCAGTCCATCAATCCCAAATCCCTGATCTTAACTGAATATCTAACTAACCAAGAGATACTGGCACACCAGAGTTAAGAGCCCCTCTAGCACTCAGGGATAAATAAGACACAACAGTTCATTCAGCTAACATAGATGAAAACTCTACAGATACATAAATCCATATAAAACTGTGTACATATTCACACACAGTTACACAATATGCAATATTGTATATTGAAGTGCATTCCACAATTGTATGCATATATACAATATACATTTAAACCCATAGGCCACAACTATACACAGAATTACATCCACACACAAGATATAATGCAATTTAAATGTAAAACATTTGGTGGAGTCTTTAACACACATTAAATACTTGAACAACACTGCTTATTGTTATTTACGAGCCTACACTATTATATACATATGTACACATTTTTATTCACACAAATCAACATGTACAAAATACCTATCCGATTATACCAGTGATTGTATACATACACACAGTTTTATGTTTCTGTTTATAAATTATGCCATATTTCATTCAGGCACAACCACACCTACAGTTGCCTCCACATACGCATCATTTTATGTGTAATTAGACATGATCGCCTTTACACACAAGACACAAAGTTGTGTACACACACACACATACACACACACTATAAACATACACCTCCAGATAATTAACTGCACGGATGCACAACTCACTGGTTGAGGCAGGGAGTGTATGAATTCTTGTCTTCCTCAATGATGGACACTATGAGAGTGATCAGCTTGGACCAGAAGTCAAGGTTCTTGATGCTGGGTCCCTGTTCCTCTGGGGGAACTTCTCCTTTCTTAGCCTGGAAGGGGCAATGGAGAGATTGGCCAGAGGGGTCCAGGGGGTGGGTGCCTCAGTTAGTTCATTATTGAGGGGTAGGAGGTTAGTGAGGAAGGGGCCCTGTTAATAGTGTGTGGTTCAAGTGGGAAAACTGCATGAAAATGAACTGAACTCTTGTAAACTGGTCTAAACAGAGCTCATGTCCCTGCAGCTCAACAAAGCTTAATTAGACTCAACTCATAAAATTGAATAGAACTGAATTTAGTTGAAAAAACCTGAAGCCCATGAAACCAAATGGAACTGAAATGAATGCCAATCAGGCCCACTTAGCTTAACAGATGGAGGTTCTCAGAGTTAATTCAGTGAAACTGAACTTGGGCCAATTACACTGAGTGGAGTGGAATTAAACTTAACTGGATTGAATTAAACTCAAATGAATTCAATTGGATTGAACCTAATCAACTCATCCAAGAGCAACATCATCCTAAGTCAAAATAATGGAAATAAATAGACTTGAACTCAACCCAACCTAAATTAATCTAATTCAACTCAACCAAGTCATCCCAATCCAACTCTACCTACTCAACTCAACCTAATAGCCTCAGGCCAGCTCAATCCAACTGTAGTCAGTCAATGAAAATGGATGCAGCTAAATTCAACTGAAACAAACCCAACTCAACCCAACTCATTTGAACTCAACTATACCCAAGGCAACAATCCAGCGTATCCTAACTCAAGTCAACTCAACCCAGTCGACAATAACTTCAGTTCAACTGAATAGAAAAAAAAAAAATGGATTTTTGCTCAAGGAAACTCAGCTTAATCCCACTTAGTTCTGCTCACTAATTAGCCAAGAGCAATTTTAAGTCACCTAAAAAGAAATAAATGAAGCTGAACAGTTTATAGTTAAACCAAACTCAACCCAATTTAATCCACTGCACCTCAACCCAATTCAATTCAAAGTGACTTAATTTCAACTCAAGGGACTGTAAATGAATGGAATGAAATAAAGTCTCACTAAATTCAGCTTATCTTATCTCCTATCAGAAGCCCAAGGTGAGGTAGGGGTCACCTTAGCTCCCACAGACTCTTGCAATTCCTCCACCCCAGAGCTAATCATCCTAGGTTGTGAATTTCCGATGTATACATCTTTCCCTTCTAATAAGCCATGAGCTCCTTGAAACCTTATTGACAATCCTGGGACATTATATGTGTAGATAAACACATATTAAAAGATCTCAAATAAACTGACTTGAAATGGCCCAAACTGAATTTTACTCAAAAAATTCAATTCAACTCAACATTTAGAACAGTGATTCTATCCTAGGCACACTGTATGCCTAACTCAACTAAATTCAGCTAAAACTGAATTTATTGAGCATCTATTGTGTATCAGGTGCCAAGCACTTACCTACACTTTATCTAAAGGTTGCAGTTCATTGAATCTTCTCTTCAATCCTGAGATATGGGTTTATGACCTCATTTTACAGAGGGAGATACTGAGGCTCAGTTAAACCGCTTGCGAAGGGGAAGCTCTGGAACTTGGTCAGGGCCTGGTTGGTATCCCCTATTCCTTTCTGCTTTATCTGGGGTCCTCACCGGATCTGTCTGGTATTCCCGGCTATAGAGTTCATGACAGTTGTTGAAGATGTACTCATAAGTAGAGTTGAGGCAGGCTTTCACGCAATCTTTCACCACTTGGCTGGCTCGGGGTGGGCTCTGGAGTTCTTGCACCTAGAGGGAGGGAGACGGGCACGAGTGGGCACAGCTGGGACAGGAGGTATGCAGGAAATGGCTACAAGTAGTTATGAGCTTAAGGAAATGTAGCAGGATGAAAGCAGAGGTCACTGAGAAAGGGCACATTTCTCCAAGAGAAACGTTACTCGGTTAGGAGCTAAGAGTCCTGGAGAATGCCCCTTGGAGAGCTAATGGCACCGGGTCCCCTTCTTACCTTCATCCGAAAGAAGGTGATGCTGGTGAGAAGGTCCACAGTGGATTTGAGGTCCTGGAGTCTCTCTGGGCTGCTGGCTGGGAAGTTATTCTGTTGGAAGGGAGAAGAGAGGTTGGGTTATGAAGAAGGCTGGGTCGGGGTAGAGTGTCTTAGGGGAAATACAAGAGCTCCCAAGTTCCAGGAAGTGGGTGGGGGGTCCATGAGAACACCTTGAAGCAACTAGGGTGGGAGCTGGTTGGATGCACCAAGCACGTTGGGCAGGTGCTGCCCATCTATGTGCACACATGTCAAAGGAACACATTCCACGTGTTAAGATGGGTCCTCCCATGTGCACACCTGCCGGGAGCTCTCCCTTCCAGGCACACGCGTGTAGGAGCAAGCAAGTCATTATGGGTGCACTTCTCACCCGATACATGGAGAGGTCGATCCGAAGGGAGTTGTGCAGCTGGTCCAGAAGCTTGACAAAGCGCTCTTTCTGAGGAGGCAGAGGAGGAGGATGGACAGAAGCAGGGACATGGGGGGTCGAAGCAGGGACATGGGGGTCGAGGTGGCTGCCATATAGGGTGAGTGCTTACTATACACTAAGTGCACCCCATCCATCATCGAAATGGGCCTTCACAATATCCATTTCCATTCTACGAGAGGTAAACTGAGGCTCAGAGAGGACAAGTGACTGGTGCAGAGTCACAGAGCAAGTCAGGTCCAGATTGGAGACCACGGAGTCACACAGGGTCCGACCCGCACAGGGTTGGGCTCGCCCTCATCCCCCAGCCCCGGTCCCCGGGACTGACCCCAAAGTTGGAGGCAGCGAAGCGGTCAGAGGCGGACACGTTGGTGGAGGCGGTGGTGTGCGCATAGTAGGCATTGATGTTGGCGAGAAGGGTGCTCATGACGGCGGGCACCCCGGGACACATGTACTTGGAGGAGAGGCAGGCAAAGTGGCTGGTGGGAGGGAGCGGGAGGAATTGGGCTTGGCATCCAGCCAGGACAGGCAGTGTTCCCCCCAGAATGCCTCCAAGACAGCATCTGTGAGGGACTCCCTCTGACCCCTCAAACCATTCCCTCTGCCTGATTGTGTCTCCCAAGTTTCTCTCGGTCTCCTCTCTGGGTTGCCCTATCTCTGCCTCTAACTCTGACCCTCACCCTGTCACTTTAGCTGCCGGAAACTGCACTTTCCTAACCTCCAGGGGATTACAGGATGCCCACCACACCCACGTCCTCTCTGGCTCCTTCTCTCAAAAACCCTTCCACCCCAGATCTGTCAGTGTCTGCTAGGGAACCCCCTCACCCCGGTTTCCTGCACCTTGCCCTCAAGTCCGCCCCAGCCTGCAGCCTCACGTCATGGCTTGGTAGATGGACTCGACGCCGTAGCGCATGGCAAATTCATCCACAATCTCCTGGGCTGTCTCATCATAGTAAACCTTCCAGGCGTCATCACCCTTGGCATCTGGGATCTTCACAACCCCGTTGTTCTGCACGTCTGTCACGAAGTGGAACAGGTTCTGCCACCGAGAGGGAGAAGGCATCGTGAAGAGTGCAATGAGGCACAAGGGGTCGGAGACCCCAGGCTGGAGGCAGCTTACATCATCCATCCGTTTGTTTATTCATCTACGCTGATTTATTCATTTATTTATTGATTTATTGATCGATTCATTGATTGATTTATTGATTTATTCATCTACGCTGTCATCCACCCATCACCCATCAACTCTCGCAATTACCAAAACATTTCACCAATCCACTCATCTGTCCTTGTAACAATTCAACCACACAACCATCCGTCTGTCTGTCCGTCCACTCATCTACCCATCCATCCACTTGTCTACTCACTCATCCATCAATCCAAATACTCCAAAACCTACCTATGTACTCCTCTATCCTTTCGTACATTTATCCATTTGTCCTTCCATCCAAGCATCTATCTAAACATCTGTCTGCCTGACAATTCATACTCTCATCCACCCACCCAACCCATTCAACTACCCAAAACTTCCCCCACGTGCGAATCCTCCCTTTTAATAATTCAACCATACATCCGTCCATCCCATACATCTACCCACAACTTTGTCTATCCAGCAATGCATCCATCCGCCCATTCAACCATCCATCATCTATTTACTACCCATCAATTTATCCACCCATCCGTCTTTCCACCAATCCGCCTATGCAACTGCCCCAAATCCACTCATCTCTACTTTCAATAGTTCAACCCCACATCTGTCCGTCCGCCCATCCTTTTATCCACCCATTATGCATGTGGCCATTCAACCAATCATTTATTCACTCAAAAACTGAGTCATCTCCAGGAGCCCCCTGTTCGGGTCTGGGACGGGCGAAACACCTGGAGCTGGGTAGTGAGAGTCTGCCTGGAGGTCAAGGAGGGCTTCCAAAAGGAGGGGGCCCTGAAGTTGGATGGAGAGGGAGGGGTTTTCCAGGCAGTAGGAATGGCACGGGGGATAGTCTTTGAGGCCCAGAGAGTATGGATGGCGTGGCTGGAAACAGGAAGGTGGAGCTGGGGTGGTCAGGGATGAGAGGAGATCGCAGTGAGCTGTGAAGGCAGGGAGGGGCGTTGGGCCTCACCTCGTGTAGACAAGTGTACTGGACATGGTAGGGGGCCACCTTTTCTTCGCCTTTGATCTCCACACTGATGTGTAGCCGGATGGCACCTGATACGGCGGATTTGTCAGTCCGCTTGTCTGCAGAACAGAAGGGGACCTCTGCGTCAGACCTTCCGAGTGTAGGCCTGGGATATTCTAATGTATGCATGACGGTAGGCCAGGAGTCATGACCCTGAAGTTAAGACCCAGGTATCTCTTCTCAGATCGGCTCTCTGGGCTTGTGCCTCTCCCAGTAGCCTAGAACTCACTAGGCCCCGTCTCTTCCTTCAAACTAGGATTCCACACCCTGCTTCCTTGCGCAGATTAAATTCCCGAGTCTGCATCTTCTCTTTAACCAGGAGCCCTAGGCCCTGCTTCTCTCCCAGACTGGGCTCCCCAGCCCTGCCTCCGCTATCAGATCAAGATCCCCAGCGTCCACTCATCTTAGATAGGATTCCTGGGTCTGCGTCTCTCTCCTCAGACTAGGATCCTCAGGTTTTGCTTCCTGCCCCCATCAGACTGGGCCTCACAGAAGACCCTTCCTCCCCCATCAGACTGGGCCTCACGGAAGACCCTTCCTCCCCCATCAGACTGGGCCTCAC